TTTTTTTAATTGATTGATGATTGATTCAATCAACTAATTTGTTGATTGTATTAACTTGATTCTTTAGATATTGAAAATTAAATAAATAACATTATGTTAATTTAAGCGTACAGAAACGTTGCTGTTGTTCCAGCAAAAATCTTATTTTCACTTTACCGAGTGCCTAGTAGGTAATTTGCAGATTACCTAGATAATCTGAACATTACCTAGGTAATTTGAGAAATGGAATAATTTTTGCAGCTTTAACGGATCACCCTAGTTAATCTGCAGATTAGCTAGGTAATGCGCACATTAACGGATTTCAAGCTTTAGCGGTAACATCTATATCATTACTATTTCAGCAAGTTTAGTTTATATGACTGATCCCATACTGATACCTTTGTTTTGAGTATAATAGTTCCCATCAATTTCAAAATAGTTACTTCTATAAGAAAACTCTATTAAGTCAATTATTTCTGGTTCTACATTAATCTGTTTTAGTTTTTTTTTTTTTTTTTTTGAGTTTTTTTGTAAAGCATAGAATAAGTGAAAATCAGAGCACGATCTGGTGAATATGGTGGATGTCTAAGTGTTTCCTACTGGAATTCATTAAACTCCGAATAACTAATGCTATATGAGAAACATTGTCTTGATGGAATATGATTAATCTATTACTTAATGCATATAACTGTTGGGTAATTTTATCTTTACTTATTTATACTTTTCAATATTTACACTATGTATTGTCTAATTATCTCCTATTAGTTCATAAGGAGTATGCAATTCCAGCAAACAGACATGATCCTTTTTTTGGTGAACATTAACTTTCAGAGTTGATTAATGGGAGTTACTAATTTTGATCCTATTTCCTTTTTGTATAGCATTGTTGTATAATAATAATTTTTCATTCCTTGTTGCCAGTGATTCAAAAATGGATCTACTTATAGAACATACTAAAACAATATCTACTGAATATTTTACTAGTATAAGAATGTTCAGTAGGTGTTGTTTTGTCAATAAATTTTTTTACTGAACTAATGATTCACACAAACATCCAGGGAGTTCATATAACCCAATTTTTTTAGGTTCTTAAAACTGTTGATTTTGGAACTTAAAGATTTTCTTCAAGCTCCTATATAATCATTTTTGGATTATTTTCATCTTTAATCCTTAGATTTTTGTGAATGATTGAATTACTGAGGTGATTTGTATCTACATTTTTCCAGTTTGGATTTGTTTTTCTTTAAGGAGAATGATTGAAGGTCTTGTGAATGGAAGGTCTGATGAAGGCTCATCTTAAACATTGATTTTCCATTGCTGAAGTTCTTAAATCAATATTGGGCTGCATTTTCTGTTTCAAGGGGGTTAAGTAATGAGGTGCCTGGTTCAAGTGACAAAATGAGAGGGGTGGCAAAATGAGCAGTCCAAATGTTCAAAAGGAGATAAAAATAATAAGCCAAATACAATGAAGTCCCATAAATGTACTTTAAATATGTTTATAAATAGTTCATATGAGAGACATTGCTAGAAGTACTCTCTATTGGCAACCATTCTATAAGTAGGGGAGGTAAAAATCAGTTTTGTCTCAGGTGTAAGTTACCATTGAGCCAACATTGTTTATTCCATTATTCTATTTGCAACTTCATATGTTTTTCTAGCAACAGCTACAACAGTCTTTTCTTGTCCAAACAAGAATTGTAATGTTTGGCCTCATTGTTTATCTCAACCAGCATCTAAGATATTACAATATTTTCCTGTATTAAAATGAATACATAAAGAAATAGCCAACATGAGCAAGAATTGTAAACACAATGTTGACAAAACACAAGAATTGTAAACACTTTTTATTTTACATTTTAATCACTAAATGAAACACTAAATCAAATGAAAAATAACAACAACTTTTTGTTGATAGTCTGCTTGTATCTTTCAAATGAGCTATAATATATTTAATATGAGATTCTTGTGATTTTACACAAGTCATCAAGAACTTGCTTTTAAAACATAGAACATTTTTGAGATAGCTTAATATTTTAAGCCATAATTTACTTACTGAAAAGTAATTTACTTTTATTATAATACAGAAAAATTTTTTTATTAGTTAATAAAAGAATGCAAAGAAGTTTTAAGAGCTGGAATTCAAATGAGACAACGTTATATAAATTTGGCTCAGACTATATTTGGTGAAGATGGAAGTGATGTAATTGAAGCACAATTAAATGAATTTGACAAAGATTTGAAAACAATGCTGCAGGTAATTTCTCATTTATGTGATTTTATTTATAAGTTTATATAGATTTATTTTTAATGAATTTAAATGAATATTAGGATTTGACAGATATTTTATTATATCATTTTAATTGAATTGTATTAGTGAGAGAAATTTTTGCATCAAAGAATCAAATTTGATTTTCTATAGGTTGTTAAATCTATAGATTTATTTTCTATAGATTTAATAATCTATAGAAAATTGTGAATTCATTATTCATAAGTTGAATATTCAATGTTTTCCAGAAATGTAATTTATGTAAATATAGAAATATTACTCTTTATAAATTACTATAATAGGTTGTATTTTTTTTTTTTTTGGAATTTTGAAGAACTATAAACAAGAGTTAAATATCCAGAAAGCTATCAGAAATTTATTTATATGTCAGAAGTTTTATATATATATATTATTTATATATCAGAAGTTTATTTAATGTCATATTTAGAAATCATGCATCTCCATGGTTTATTAGATATATAAGCTTACTAAAGATTTTAAATGCCTTTAAATGTTTAACATCTTCCAATTAAACTAAAATGAATTTCCTAAATTAAATAACAATAATAAAAACACTTCCTTGAGAAGTGAACTGCAATTAAATGAATTGCAGGAAATGAATTTATGATTTCATGCCATTCATTTAATTGCATTTAATTACTATAAGAGCTTCATTAACAATATTGGATAAATCTATAAGAATGACAAACCAGATTACTATTAAAAATTTAACAGATGATTAAATTACTATTTTAAAATTACAATTTGTATAACTATTAATATCCAGATGTAACCATTAAAATTATAAATTATTACAATATTTTCATTATACTATATCTAAATAATAAAAACATTATCTATAAATTTATGAAATGCAAACTAGTTATAAGAAAATATTTAATAGAAAGTCTTGAATTCAACTTCTTCATTTTATTAAAAAAAAATATATAAACATTGCAAATATATTTGCTTTCTTTCCATCATTACACCAGCAACAGTTTCAAACAGAATTCTTATATATGGGGATGATCTTTTCTTTGCAGCTATGCCCCTGCAACATCATGTAAATGGAAACAGTGTTCTTTGGTAATTTAGCCAATTTCAAAATGAAATACATAAAGTAAATATTTATATAAAGTTTATATTTTTTTAAAGAAATGAAATACTGTCAGCCAAGGTTTAAAATAATTTCTTCATTTTAACTCGATTGATAATTATAACTAAGTACACCAGTCAAAACTTTGACAACCAACATTCTAAATAGAAATGTTCTGGACATTCCAATTTAGAACATTGTTGATTGTTGAATGTTGTTCAGATCTTGTGTAAGATCAAAAACATTTGTTGAATTTACATTAAATTATATATGGTATTGTCAAGATTTCGATTGGTGTATTTAGAAAGTCTCAAATACGAATAAAAATGGTTAATTATGCTAGAGAATTAGTTATAAAAAAGTAAAGTGATAGTTTAATTTTATTCTGCATAATAAATTAATAAAGGTAATATTATATATAATTTATATATTTGAAACATCACAAATTATTTAACAGTTGTTTTAATAAATTACCTTTTATATTGAGTGTCCTACATAAGATATTACAAACTAATTCAAGAACAACTTGATGCAAATCATCATTTTTTTTTATGGTTTCTAAGGAGCTTCATAACTAATTATGTTACTCCTTGCTCTTTCTTGTAGATAGACAAAGGCAACTTTCAAATAAAATGCTAGAGAAAAATACAGGTATCACTCATACAACATGGTTCAAAAATTGGGGAAATTCTTCATACAAAATTTCACAACTTTTAAGTGCAAACTCCTTTATTTTATATTTTTTATTCAAATAAGCATACATGCATGTTATCTCAAGTTTGTTACCTTTCATCAGGTTTACTGATAACTGATAGTGCAGTTTTTTTTCTTCTTTGTCCTAGCTTTAATATCAACCAGATGCTGTCATTGCTTTAAGATTTTAGTCTTAAAGACTGTTACTATGTTTTGTTTTTATAGATTAAACTTTGTATTTAGTAAAATTTATTTTATTTAAACATTTTTAGGTAAGTGTTGTTAAACTTTTTTAACCATAGGTTAGTAATCATTTATAAAAATGATGAACAAAATACAATGGTATCTCAGTACTCAAACAATTCGATATTCAAACACAAATTCTGGGAAAAAATTGGCCAGTCTTCAATTGAACATGCACCCCCAATACCCGCATGTCTTCATTTTTTTTTATTAAAAAAAAAAAATGAAGATGGTTGCTGATATTTCTGATTAAGATCAACAAAAGAGTTCAGAAGATGATACTTCATAAAAAGAAAATGCCCTTGTTTAACTAAAATTAACATTAACACATAATACAATACTTTTAATTATGATTATTATTGTATATTCTGAAACCATGTCTCCTTTTATCTGTTTTTGCTGTTACAACTAGGTGCATAGACAGACACTGGGCATTTCTGACATCAATCTTCATTCGGGAATATCCTGTTGGCCAAGACGCGTTTCAGGTATAAGCCTCTCTTCTGTCGGCTACATAATAAAACATAAGCATGAATTTCTCATACAAATTGTTTTATATTATAATAGGTTATAATGTACCATTACTTCCGGGATATCTTGTAAGGTGTTGTTAACTGGTATACATCTTGTTTAAAATTACTTATTTACAGTTAAAAATATTTTACTGTTAAAATACCTTTACAGTTTAAAATATATTCACAATTAGAAGTATCATTACAGTTAAAGTTTTTTGACTTTATATTGAACATCACCTAGCACATACTCTTGATGTCCATGTTAACAAAGTTCTGTTTAATCTTGTTGGCATATTAACATCTCTTTAAGAGTATTTATATGCTAAATTAATCTTTCTTATTGTTATTACTATTATCATCATTAATATTAGTATCATTATTATTAGTAGACTACAAAACACTTACTAAAACACCTTTTCTTGCAGCCAAAGTTTATAAGAAAAAACTTTCTAATGTTTTCAGTCTTGTTAAAAGACCTTTCTCAAGAAAACTAAATCAAATATAAGAAAAACTATATAAGAAGAAAACAACTGTGCACTGCGCTAGCTACCCACGTTCTAGCGGACCAGCAAGACGTCAAGGTTGAATGGGACCAAGCAAGACTAATGCAGATAGTCCGCGACAAGAAACACCGGCATTACGCGGAAGCCTGGCAGATTTGTAAGGCAAAGCATAAAGGCCTTGCAGTCAACTTTTAAGAATTGACAAAAATATCGGCAGCATGGTCCTCTAGCTTAATATAAACTTAATAATTGAGGGAAGTAGTTACTATGTATCTTGGCTATGTATTTTTGAATGAGGTTGGGAGATGGTTACTATGTATTTGTGTTTAGATATTTATGTAATCTTTTTTATATTTCCATTGCTAAGTTCGCAATGAAGTCATATATTGCAACGGATTATAAGCTAGTTTGAAAATATTCGAAAAACGTGTCAGCGGTACTAAGCGTTCGATTTACAATTTTTTGTTTTATTTGATTTAGTTTTCTTGAGAAAGGTCTTTTAACAAGACCGAAAACGTTAGAAAGTTTTTTCTTATAAACTTTGGCTGCAAGAAAAGGTGTTTTAGTAAGTGTTTTGATAATACAGTATGCAGTCGCAAACGATTAGTAGACTACATTCGTTGGGCTATATGTATTGAATTAGTTTACTCAATACCATGCACCTGTGAAAACCCAAAAAAGTACATAGGAGAAATGAAAAGGAAAGTAGAAATAAACTAAAAGAACATATTGTCATAGAAAGATAAATTCAGTTTTCTATGAACAAAATACAATGATAATATTACAATAAATAATTGCAATATAAACAAGGATGACATGAGAATTTTACACAAGGAAACAAATTGTTACAAGAGAAAATTTAAAGAAAAGTTATGAAATAATAATAAGTCAAAAAAATAACATCAATAAAAATTTAAGCATAAAGATTCACCACAATTGGTTAAAATTATTATAATAAAAGTAATAATATTATCAACAGCAATAATAATGATAATAATAGTAATAACAATAAGAAAGATTAATTTATTGTATAAATGCTCTTAAAGAGATGTTAATATGCCAACGAGATTAAACAGAACTTTGTTAACATGGATGTCAAGAGTGTGCTAGGTGATGTTCAGTGTAAAGTCAAAAAACTTTAACTGTAATGATACTTCTAATTGTGAATATATTTTAAACTGTAAAGGTATTTTAACAGTAAAATATTTTTAACTGTAAATAAGTAATTTTAAACAAGATGTATACCAGTTAACAACACCTTACAAGATATCCCGGAAGTAATGGTACATTATAACCTATTATAATATAAAACAATTTGTATGAGAAATTCATGCTTATGTTTTATTATGTAGCCGACAGAAGAGAGGCTTATACCNATGTTAGGCTAAATTATTTTAAGTAATTTTTATAATTATTTTCATAATATATTTTATACAAATTTTCATAGGTTGTAACAGATTCCCCAAATCCAGCTACAAAATTTTCAGATGCCATTTTACTTTGTCCAAATAAAGAATATTGTGAAGAATTATCTACATATGGAGTTTGGTCAGATACTTATCAAAAAATGAGGCTTCCTACATTTCATCGTCCATTCTTGTTTCTTTTACGTATTCCTTTGGATATAGTTCATGAATGTCTACAGCTACGAATTCAACAACAACCAGAGGATCCATCATCACTAAGTATTTATCAAGTGAGAGGTTTTTTCTTTAATTTTAATAGAATTAATAAAATAAGGTAATTCAATTTTAAAAGATTTAAATATAAATAAATAAATTGCTTACATGAAATTTATGAAGAAATAAACTAAAAATGCTAATATTACCAGCTAACAATCAATCATCAGGTATCAAGAATTAGAACAAGTAGAAAGTTTGTTATCATTGTAGAAACAGTGGACACATGATAGTGAGCAGAGAATGCAAAAATAACTTCTGATAAAACTGAGACTATGCTTCAAATAGGCCTATATGAATCAGATGTCACTTGTTTATCAATGTAAACCATCCCATGCTGTAGGTAGTGATATAACATTGCATAAATTAATTACTTTATGATAAGGTTCTTTTATTTTTCAGATGTTGAGATATTTTTTCCAGCATGTATTCTTTCTAGCAACTCTGCCTTACCCCATAATATATCAACATTCTTAATTAATGTGGTGATTGGTAGAAATACAACCTATTTTCATACCAGATATTACATTTATTAACCAAAAATCAGCATCTTTAATATATTTCTTTATGAACTTTATATAAGCAGTTTACTTTATATANACAAGGATGACATGAGAATTTTACACAAGGAAACAAATTGTTACAAGAGAAAATTTAAAGAAAAGTTATGAAATAATAATAAGTCAAAAAAATAACATCAATAAAAATTTAAGCATAAAGATTCACCACAATTGGTTAAAATTATTATAATAAAAGTAATAATATTATCAACAGCAATAATAATGATAATAATAGTAATAACAATAAGAAAGATTAATTTATTGTATAAATGCTCTTAAAGAGATGTTAATATGCCAACGAGATTAAACAGAACTTTGTTAACATGGATGTCAAGAGTGTGCTAGGTGATGTTCAGTGTAAAGTCAAAAAACTTTAACTGTAATGATACTTCTAATTGTGAATATATTTTAAACTGTAAAGGTATTTTAACAGTAAAATATTTTTAACTGTAAATAAGTAATTTTAAACAAGATGTATACCAGTTAACAACACCTTACAAGATATCCCGGAAGTAATGGTACATTATAACCTATTATAATATAAAACAATTTGTATGAGAAATTCATGCTTATGTTTTATTATGTAGCCGACAGAAGAGAGGTTTATACCTGAAACGCGTCTTGGCCAACAGGATATTCCCGAATGAAGATTGATGTCAGAAATGCCCAGTGTCTGTCTATGCACCTAATTGTGATTGTTAGTTAATTATTGATTGGAAATAAATTATTGATTGCTTTAATAAACATATTTTTCTTAATTACAAAAAAGAATAGTATACTTTTTGTAAGCTAACCCCATGTTTTGTATTAGTCTTTTTTTTTCACATAGCACAGATTCACATAACATGGCATTTTTTCAGAACATAACTGCCTTGTTATATGAGGGATACTTGTACATATTTTGAATTTTACGGAAAAAAGGCAAGATACTTTGATCTGAAACTTTTTAATAACTTGCATCTGTTAGAAATTAGACAATTGAAGCTTTGAGTTGATTCAAATTGTTCATTTGTACTTGATTTCATCTTTTTCTTATTTTCATATTGTTAGAAGTAAGCATAAGATTGCTTAAGAAAACTATTCACACAGAAACACAACTGGGATAGATGTATAGGCTTTATTGATTGTAAAGGAAATGCATTTTCTTCACAATCAATAAAGCCATATGAAAGAGGGCAAGGAGCAACATAATTTTATTATTGTTTTGAAGCTTCTTTCAAACCATAAAAAAATAAAAAAAATGGTGATTTGCATTAATCAACTTTTTCTTCTGTTTGAGTGAAGTACAGGTAGGCCTCCTACAATGCGGTACCTTTACAATGCATTTTTGCTCCAACACGGTTGGAAAAATGCGGAAATTTTCTTACAACATGGTACTTTTACAACGTGGTTTATGGTATTTAGAAACTAATTATCTTCACATAACAGAAAAATCACAACAGATCACATGATACAAGCCGCAGTTCGGCATACTGAGCTGAGTCTTTCAAAACAGCTGTTTGTGGACGTTGGCATGTTATTCCCTTGAAAGTTTCAGGGAAAGACTGGTTTCTAGACAGATGGTGCATCAGTTACCGTAAACACTCAAATATATCACTAAATTTTTGATCATTTATACTCTTTCAATAAGTTGGGACTGCAGAAATAGTCCAAAATAAAGTATAAACTTCTATTGGGTGTATATTTTTAACAACATAGTGAAATGAAGTTACTTTTTGCAATTTTTACTGTCCACAAAACTGATTGAAAAATTTTAGCCATAACAATGCCGAATGAAAAGAAAGGACCGTCGTTAAAAAGGAAATTTATAACTCTTCAAACAAAGATAGAAATTTTGAATCAAATTAAATATCAAGAGCGGATAGCTGATATCGGTAGGCATTTTAATTTAAATGAGTCAACGATTCGGTCGAGAGAAAATATCAGAAATTTGGTCGCATACAGATCATCTATTCTTGTGAAAAATGTTGCTCGTCCAAGAGCACCTATAATGGAAAAAATGGAACAAGCGCTAATATTATGGGTAGAAGATATGAAAAAGAAATGGTTGCCTTTAAATAAAACTGCACTTAAACACTTAAAGCCTTAAAAATATTTGATTATTTAAAACAAAACAAAAAAAAAAATCAACAGTTGTCATCTGATGAAACCAGTGTTAAATTTGTGGCTAGCAATGGCTGGTTTGAAAAATTCAAAAAACACCATTCAAACGCCAAGTTTTTCTCTTTTTAGAACCGAATTTAGAACCGAAGTTTTTGTATTAAGTTGGTGTCTCCTATAATGCAATTTCCCACAACGCGGTATTTTCAAGGAACGTATCTATTGCATTGTAGGAGGCCTACCTGTATCAGCTTTATCTTACATACACAGGACATCCTGTATATACAGTAACAATTCTAAAAATGATTTTAACTGAAATTACTTTTAAATTTAGATTTATTTAAAATATTTGGAGAAAAAGAAAATGACAGAAGGGTTACCGCCAGTTACAGTTCATCAAAAGAATTCTTTGGAAGAAGAATGGGCATTTGTAAGAGCAACATGCCCTCATATTCCTGGAGGGGAAGCATTGGCAGCAAATAAGTTTTGGTAATGCTTACTTTTATTATTTTTATAATGTATAATGTTTAAAGTAAAATATCCTTTTGGTTCAATGTGACATTTTTTGTTTTTTTACTCTTTTGTAATATCAAAAACATTAGAAACTAAAATTCTCATTTATGCCAAAACTTGGTAAAATATATTTAGCAAAAAATTTTCATCTTCAGATCCAAATCATTTTAAAAGAATTTGTTCAAATTTTGTCAAAATAATTCAAATAAAATCAGGTACTTTGAAAATTTTTAGAACATTTCAGCAATTTTTTTTAAATGTTAGCACTTTCTGTTCTGTTGGGAATTAAGATTGCTCTATAACTTTTATTATGAAATTTATATTCATATATGACTAGAAAGACTTTTTAGAAAGAACATAACAATTTTCAGTTGACTTTCCATTAAAATTCATTTATTTTGAAATGTAATAAAATATAGGACATTTAAATAATAAAACGTTTCAAAAGCATTTTAGGTTTATAGATTAACATAATGATATTTTTATAGTGTAATTCTTTTTAGCTAGTAATCTTATTTATTAATATTAATAGATTTTAATTAATTATTTATTATATATTTATTGGTTTATCTGATTTAATTGTAATTACACACTTCATAAGTAATACAAACGTCATAATTCTAGGTCTGCATCTTTAAGAATTTTCTTACTTTGTATGATAGATTGTAGTGCAATTATTTTACATACAAACAAACATATTTATTATAAGTGAAAATTTAATGTTGAAGAATTCATAAGAAAAAACATTACTAATTGTAATGTTGAAGAATTCATAAGATGAAAAATACTAGCAATTTTATTGATTACATTACAATTAATTTTTTAAAAATTGGTGATTTTTTTTTTGTCATTTCTTTTGATAATCAGGAAAAATTGCTACATTAACTTATTCTCTATATTTAAACACTTTTAGATTTGTTGACTAATATTTATATTTTTAGAATATAAATTATCTACATTTATCAGTAAATTTTTATTTAGTTTTTTTTCTGTATTTTTATTAATTTTTTGGTATTTTATGATAAAAGTTTATTCAGTTTCTGTTTAATGATAATATTATCTACAATACTTTCATACATATTCATTTTCTTTAATAAATTAATAAACTTTTTATTTGAAAATGGAAGGATGTCTAAAAGAGACTTTGTTATCCACTTATATTTTGTCACCAGTGATTGATTGAAGTGATATCACTAGAGTTGGTGTCACCCAGTGTGATAACTTATGGTGTCAAACCAAATGGACTCTTTTTGTACCAGACTATACAAAATCCTTAGTAATGTTTTTCTATGTACTAATGCTACTTGTAAATTGTAATTTCTATATATTATTGAATGAAATGGCAATAACATAAACAACTAGCAAAATTAAAATTATACCTTTAAAATTACAATATCTGTATATGCTATTTTGTTACATAACACTTGAGTGGACCAATCTTTAGTATACATTGGAGAGACTGCCAGGAGCTTTGTTTTAAGGTTAAAGGAGCATGTATACAACATCAGTAAGAAATGGTCCAACACCACACTTACAGCATACTCTTTGGACAGTGATATGCAGTCATTTTGATGAGGTGCATCTATTACATTGAATGTTAGATCCCACACATTTGAAATATTTACAAACACTTGAAATTTACAATGCTTTAGAAACCAGAAGTTGGTCAACTTCAGAGGCAAATACACTTTCTACAGCATGGAGGGTGTTTTGAACTCCCTTAGGACTTTTCTTCTGTGTTTTTATTACTGTACACATGCATGTAGGCAATTTAATTTTAAATTTACAACTTTTAATTTACCATAATAACACTATACCATTGTGCATGTGTGCATTTAACTATTTTAAATCTTTGTATTTAAATGTACTCAATTACTTGTTCTGTTTTCCTTATGGAATATCTGATGATGATCATTATAGATGAAAACATTTGTATAAGTAAATAGTTTAATTCCTTTTACTGGTTTTTGGGTATTTGATGTGTGTAGTTTTATAATTATTTTTAATCTGATACTGAGAGACATGAGTTTCAAAAAGCATTTTATCAAATAAAAATAAGACTCCTTGAATTATTAGCATTTCAACTTAGTTAATTTATATATTGTTTTAAATTATTCATTTTTATGTGATATTCTATGAAATAATTGTATTAATATTTTCTCAAAATTTTACATATCTTTATTTATCTAGCATTTTTATGTTGTTACTCCATTCTAAACTTTTCAAAAATATCAATCACCTATTTAACTGACCTTTTTTAAGAATTAAAAAGATGTTTTATATGTTAAATTTTCTTAAGTGTATTAAGTTACCTGTATTCATTTAATTTTAATATTTTTTCTCATCTTTCTAATAAAATATTTTTCTCAAGTGTAATACTTTCTTACTTTTTATTTTATACATATTCTTTCATCTTAATTTATAAAATTTGAAAAATTTGTTTTCTCTGCTGACGATGTGTGTGCATGCACATGTTTTTCCAAATAAGCATTTTTATAAAATTTATTTCTCCATTAATACAAACCTTTTGGTCTCTCACCATTCAAATGTTTTGTTCTGAACTTCATTTGATAGAATTTTCAAAGTTACTTTTTAAACAAAAAAAGAATGCTTAAAAGACTTATTTTGCATTTTTGATCATTTGGCATTATTCTCTTCCATAAATTGATTGAAAGCAACAATTTTGTATTGATTTTACATTATATAAAATAAACTAAGTTAACAGCATAGAGATACATTTTATGTTATAATTATTTTTAGTTTTCTTGCAAGTGATTTATTGCTTTGTATTGGATCTCATATTGATAGTGGAATTAAAGAATCATTAATTGCTCTTAATTCAAGTTTATCAGAAGAACAAGTTAATTCTTCATCTTACAGGTAAGTAGTTTTTAAAGATATTTATTCATTTAAAGTTAAATAATAAAAACAATTTTTTTCCTTACTTCTCATAACTTATTTTACACAAATTCAGCCATAATGGTTCCTCATTGCAGATTTTTAGAAAAATGATCTTTACAAGATTTTCATTTTCGACTAAATCTGTAGTCAAGATGCTCTAGAAGCATGTAATATGAAACATAGCTTACTTAATCTATAGAAATAATAATTTTTAGATTTTTATTTATTTTAAAAATTAAAAATTTTTTTTACTATATTCCATATATACATATAAATTGCATTAATACTAATATACATAATTAAACATTTTAAGTTAAATAACAATTTTAACCCACAATCTACAATCACATGTAGTAGCAGTGATTTTTCTACACTTACTAGTTTTTTGCAGCATTTTTTTTTATGAAATTGACTTATGTAATTGTGCTTCCATGATATCCTCATGCTACATGCTATGCATCTGCCCTTAAAAATTTTGATTGAAGAAGATTTTTTTACACTTATCATAGGCCCTCAAAAAACTGTGAAAAATTACTTCCTTACTTGTGATCAGGCACAATTTTTCTTTATTGTCACATTCTTTATGATTGTAAGGATAAAGGCAGCAATTTTCCACTCCTATGTGATTTCAGTGACCTGACATCACCAAAAATGACTTTGTGGATGTCTCTCACAATTGCACAAGAGGTAGTCATGAAATCATGGAAGTTTGTCAGCTAGGAATGACGTAATGGCAGGCAAGCTGCAAGTTGCTATGACTTTAAACACTTGTCTCTGTAAGGTAAACTAGGGCACTATTACCTTTAAAAAGTTAAAGTTTATGCAGGTTTATTTCATGCCCAAAAAATACAGAAAAACCATTTTCTTGTCTTTCTGAGAAACATCTCAGCTCTTCTGTTATTTATTTTCAGCAGAACTCATTTCACATTAACCCATACTGCTCCAAAGTTTGAAGAGATCCTTGTAGCCTGGTCTAGGACAGACATTGTTCTGTAAACAAAATAATATAAAATAAACAATGTATGATGTTGAAATTTGGCATGTGCAGAGAAGATACATTACAAAATTTTTCAGAATTGTCAAATTCAAGGAATGGCAATTATGTACAGAGTAATTATGTATAAAAATCAACAGAAAATTATCTTTTGCATGTGATCAAGGGTTAATCAAATATTAATTCTTATGTATGTTGTCTTAGTCTGCTATTATTTTGAATGACATTTTTAAAGTTGCTTGAAATTGTGAAAAATTATTTTTAATGGAAATAGTTTTGAGGTAATAATAATAATACAGTAGAGCCTCGAAAACTCGGCCTAATGTGGACCGAAGGGTGGCCAAGTTTGTGAAAATGCCGGGTTATCGGGAATGGGGTTAAAAAAGGATAAGTATGCGTGTTTCCTCAGAAAATAGTGTACTGTACTTGTATGTATTGTTTGCTTGAGAATACAACAGAGAATAAACTGCCCAAATACCCTTAAACAAAGGAAAAGTACGTCCTTTATGAAGGCATAGAGCCTTTACTACATGAAAATGAAAATTAATGAATACACTGTGTACAGTAATTTACCTGATAAGACAGACCTCAGAAAAATACTTTACGAGAGCTTTTATACTTTTATAAAGCTGTCTATAATGAAAATTAATTAACTAAGGATTTTTTTGCCCTGCCAGGGTGTGGCCGAGTTATCCGGAGTGCCGGGTTATCGAGAGCCGAGTTTTTGAGGTTCTACTGTAATTTATTTATTTATTTATATGTTCTTAATCATTTTCTAAATTTTATAATGTTATATTTTTAAAATACATGTAATGCACTCTATGAAAAGTCAGAAAAGTAAATTTGGCTATAGAACAAAACACATAATTTAAACATCAAAATAATCAATTTTTAGGTCTCAACATGTTTCTAGTAATGTTTGTCAACATTTTAAGCTGTAAATACCCTCTTAGTCTGTAGAATAAAATATACTCAAAAAATGAAAATGACTTAAGGTACTTTTTATAGATTACATCATGTGTATTAAAAAAAATACATATACTTATGTAAATATTTTATGTAATATTGCAGTGGTACCTCAGTATACGTCTGCTTTAGTACACATCCAATTTGGAATATGTCCTGTTTGGATGAAACAAATTTTGCTCGGTATATGACTTCTGTTCAGTATATGACTTAATTCAATTATATGCACTATCTATGAACAAATAGCACTATTGGTGTACTAGACCAGACTAGATGTTCGCTGTGCCATGGTTTATAACTTTGTTAAATTTCTTCTGATTTTAATTTGTAAGTAAAATTTTATTATTTTTATTAATCATGAATTGCAAAAAGGCAACAGAAAAATAAAAAAATCACAATGGAACTGAAAAAAGAAATTGTTGAGAAATATAAAGGTGGCATGCGTGTTCAAGATTTAACTGTTGCATACCATATTCCGAGAACGATGATATCGACAGTCATGTAAATTAAGACATTATTAAATCTGCTAACGTTGCAAAAGTGGTTAAATCAATTTCTAAACAGATATTGAAGACATTAGATCATGTTGAGAAATTGCTTTTACTTTGGATAACTGAAAAACAGTGTGCTGGCAACAGCATATCAGAAGCAATTATTTGCGAGAAAGCTAAAAAGATACATGCTGATTTCGTGAAAAATCAAGCAGGACCTAGCCAGGAAAGCGAGGTGTTTAAAGCCAGCCATTTTCTTTACCTGAGAATGGATTAATCATTTTTACATTACTTCTTATGGGAAAGGTTGGTTTGGTATACGTCCTATTCGGTATAAGTCCAAACACCAGGAATGGATTAAGGTTGTATACCGAGGTTCCACTGTATTTGTTTGTAATTTTCCTTTTTTTTTTTAATTAAAATTTTTCATTATAGAAAAGGAATTCTTCGCACATGTCGCATGTTTAAAACTGTATTTAATGATGCAGGAGATAAAGCAAGACAAGCTGTTGCATTTGCTAAAACATTACGCAAGGTAAAACATTTTTTTACTTAAAATTTAATTATTCAAAAGAAAAACCAATTTATAAGAAATAACCAATCTTGAAAATTTGCACATAATTTTATATGATGAATACTATTGATCTTACACAGATCAACTTCAGGTTTACATCAAATGTGATCTGTTTTGTAAGTTAATATATTTTATTTTAATATTATGTAGACTTCTAAAAGTCCATGTCATATAAAATTTTATGCTAATTTTTAAGGTTGATTATTTATAATAGTTCATTAACTAGTTTATTCCATATTCCATTTGGAAAATCACTTTTTTTGTTTTTGGTTAATCTTTCATTACTACTTTGGAAAGTAACAAGTTAATAAATGATTAAAAGTTTTTTAAAGACATTAATGTTAAAGACATTTTTAAAAGTTATATTTCTTTTATCATTTTGTTTTTGATTCTTTCTATCCTGTGGGCACTAAGAGGACCTTTTAATTATACCTGTTATAATTTCAGCCTGTCCCACAATGAAGTGGCTGGGCATTGAAGGATAGGGCCCAATATATCTGGGACAGACCAGCTTTCAGCATCCAGAGTAGATGGCTGATGCCTTAACCCCCTTGGCTATCCAGCAGCTTATTGCTTTTATCAGATTTGATATTTGTTGAAATAACATTAAAATTTCCATAAACTATCATTCTACCAAATATACCAAATAAAAATTTAACAATTTCAATTATTCATTCAATTTAAGAGCTATTTTTAGAATATCATAGATTTAGAAATACTGTAATTTACAGTGATACTTTGCCTGATTTAATTTAATTAAAGCATTTTTAGTTAGTTACTGTACAAATATAAAAAGTTTTCAACAATCTGTAATGTAATTACATAGCAACATTTCAAAGAATATTTAAACATATGAAATACTAGATATCAATGTAATTATTAAGTAAGCCTGTCAACATTTTTCAACTACAATGAAACACTTTACGATCAAGTTAACAAAATAATTTATGATAACAAACTTTTATATGTGGTTTAAGCATAAGACTGAATTTTATTCACTAATTCTTCATAAATGGTGTAATTACAATAAAATAATTTTCAAATCTAAAATGATATATCATTGGCAAGATAAATTTAAAACAGCAACATTAAAATATAGCTGCCATACACACTGAATGAGAGTTTGGAATTATACACTGAATTTATTTCCATAAAACAATAACATTGATACATAGAAAATAATCATATTAATCTATATTTGGAGTACAACTCTTAGAAATCATTTATACAGGATATCAGTCATGTTAAAGCTTTGCTTTATTTCTGAATTCATGGATGCAGTTAGAAACTGTGTAGTGAAGACACTGTATATAGATACTAGAGACAATCTCCTGACCTGATGTTCTTCAATATTAAATTATCAATATTTGAATTAGCATAGATAGAAATTAGTTTTCAACATTATATGCCCATTTTCCTCAACTTTCCTCAATACTGTTTCTTTTTATAGTGATGAATTGGGCTGTAGGTCTTTCTTCAAGTATTCCAGTGCATCAAGCTGTATTGTAATTTAAAAATAGCTGTTTGCTAGCATCTTTAACATAAAGCCCATCTTTTCAATTAACTTCATTAAAAGATATTTTTCATTACTTATTTTTGTTGTACATTTCTTACAGAGAATCATAAGGCAAATTAACTTTGCTTATTTGGGACATTCTGCTGCTTTATCAGTACAGCATATTGAGTAAAGAGGAGTACAGTATATGTTAATGGGCTGATGTTAAAAACAAATTAGAAGTGTTAGCTTCATAGATGGGTCATACAAATTTCAAAGCTACAGATGGGTGGTTATTACAATGGAAAACCCATCAAGAAGTAAAATTTAAGAAGACATGCAGTGAAAAACAGTGCTGACACTGAGTGCCAAATAGTGAAAATCAACTAAGTTGCCTGAATTCCTGTAGAAATTTAGTCCTGATTAAATTTAAAATGCAGATGAAAAAGGACTGTTTTATCATGCCACCCCTGATGGTTCCCTGTGTTTTAAACAAGAAATACTATCAGGTTGAAAAAACCTGGATTGTATTACCATATTGTGCTGCTGTAATGTGTTAGGAAGTAATAAACAGAAGTTGATAATCATTGGAAAACATGCTAAGCCTTGATGATTTACAGATTTATTTACATACATGTATTCATAATATTAATTATATTTTTTAATTTATAGTTTTTATTTTCATTGTTCATTTCTTACCTTAAATTTTCTCTGTTCTCATAAAATTTACTTTTTTGGGACAGCCACTTAATTGGGACAAATTAGTCAGGTCCCAATGTGTCCCAGTTAAGTGGAATCAACTGTATATGAAATATGTTGATCTTTTTAAACTGATGGAAGGCACAACAAATTTTGCTGTGCCTTCCATCAGTTTATAGCATTAAAGCTAGAATTTAAAATTTAAGGTATTTGGTTTATTTTGTCATCAATTTTATCCAAAAATTTGTTTATATCTGGATTTTAAAAGCATGGTATGTAAATCAGCTTTGTGTTTTCTTAAAAATAAAGCTGATTTATGTACTGTGTTTTGACTGGTGAAAACAAAGCTGAATGTGTTTGAATTCTATTAATAAGTCAGTAAAAAAGTTATATTGCTGTTTACTATTTAATATTTATGGCATTAAAGCTAGAATTTAAAATTTAAGGTATTTGGTTTATTCTTAGAAAAATTTTTGTATAAGTAAAACTTTTGTGACTTGTAGAGAAAAAAGATTATCGAAAATTTTTAAACAAATGTCTAGAAATGAAATTAATAAGAAATGATTATAATATATATTTTAGTATACTATATTTTTTTTTATAATTGTATATAGTGAATGCATTTAATTATAATTAAAATCTATATATAAGCTATAGACATTTTATTTTATTTCCGTTATTAGTTTATAGATTTTCTCAGTGCTGGCTCAATGGTAACTTGCACTTGAAGCAACATTACTTTTTGCCACTTATGATTCCAAAATGATTGCCAATAGAAAGCACTTCTTACAGTGACATTTTGTATGAACTATTTATATAACAACTTTAAAGTATATTTATAAGACTTCATTGCATTTGGCTTATTAATATTATTTATTTTTCTCTTTTTGAATACTTTCATCTGTTCATTTTGTCACTTGAGGAAGTCACCTCACCCATTGAACTAGCTCTGGATTTTTCTGTTAATAAAATTGATTCAATGTATTAATTATAAAATTATTTTATGAAGAACACGATGAATTATTTCCAGTGTCGTCCCGTGGAAATTGCGAATAGGGAAACCGTGTTTCTATAAGAAGCCGACTTCCAGGGGCTTAGTTTATTCTTTCTTTAAACGTATTTTTAATAGATTATTTATCTGATGTACTTAANGAAAAATAACTTCTGATTTGAATAACAAATATTTAATGAAATTTTTAGTGTTTGAATATTTTGTACTAATTTTTTAATAAATATTTTCAATTGTTTAATTTCATTTATACCATATTACTTTTGACTTGTTATGTTATATAACTATGAAGAATAAATAAATCTATATTTTCATATAGATTTATTTATTCTTCATAGTTTATATAATTTAATAATATTAATATGAATAATCATATAATAATTTAATTGTATGAACACTTTTACAAGATAATATATTTGCTATCTGTATGAAAATAGATACAGTAATCAGGAATAATATATTTGATATATATACTAGCTGTTACCTACAACTTTGTCCGCGGGGGTTTTGCAAGCAAACCCCATTTATATTCAGTATTTCAACAACCATAGTAATTGTTATATAACACCTACCGCTGAGAATTGCTGAGAATCAAATGAACTATTTTCAATTTGATCAATTTTCTGAAACGTTTACAATTATTCTATAATCGAACCAATATGCAATAACAAATTCAAATTTAAAACGGTTCGAACATTTGGTTAAAAAATCGAAATATATAAAAATATTTATTACAAAGTCTGAAATGTTATCAATTTAAGGGAAAGTATGGGAATCAATTTCAAAATCTGTTCTTCAGGTTAAGCATTTATGCTCTCCCTCTCCTCCTGCGGGGGAATTTAGAAAAATTCCTTCTTAGTGTGTGTTTTCATAACGTACCTCTTTAGGTTCATCGGTTTGTTCTGGGCGATGATGAATCAATCAGTGACTCAGTCAGTCAGTCAGGACAAGTAATTTTATATATTTAGATATAATATACCAAAAATAGTATTCCCCATTACTGTATATATACAATAATGGGGGAGTGAAACAAAAACTGGACTGTTTTTAAAGCATAATACAGTCAAACCTGTCTATAACTGAACCTACATACAGCAAAAACCTGTCATTAATGAAAAATTTCTTTGGTCTCTTGAAATTTTTTGCAAAAATGAATATAAATTAACCTGTATATAGCAGAACCTGTCTAACATGGAAACAAAGGAAAATTGAACTGCATAATGGAAAAATAGGTATCTTTATCTAATTTAACACAAATTTAACAAGAATTTTACAAGACTAGCATGTATAAATCTTAAAAAAGTCAAAAAATACACATACACAGTACAGAATAGAAAAATACTTCATTTATACAACTAATATTACAGTAATTTTATTGGGTTTTAAACAGAACATTTTTGCTTATTTTTATTAACAGCTGTTTTTACTTAACATAAATATGTGATGTAATTACAAGTTGTGAAATTTAACATATTATTTTTGTTATGAGATTGTATTGTTTTAAAGCTAATTTTATACTTTTTTACATCACATTTCATTTATATAAAATCAAGTCAAAATGTCTTCAGAGAAAATGCACATTGGGCACATTATGAATGCTTTTAAGTTTCGTAAAGAATATCACACTATACAAACAGTAAAAAGTACTCTTACCATGTATGGGGAAGATGCTTCTAAACTCTGAATGTGTTAGATGTGGTTTTGAAAATGTCATTTATAAAATTTTGAACTGAAAGATACAAATTGTATGAGCCCCCAAAAAGCTGTTGAAGAAACATTGTGGGAAGAAATTGTTAAAGATTGATGAATAACAACTCTTGAATTTGTAACAAATCTTAGTGTGTCACAGACATGTATTGTTAAAATACTTCATCCACTTGAAACGGTTGTAAAACATGCTGATGATGGTGTTCTGCATGCAGTTTGTTTTTTCACTTATAAAAAAAAACAAATTGAATTGAGTATAATTTTGTTGGATGAAGGTAGGCAGTTATAAGGTGTTACTTAATTTTGAAATTGGTTACTCATTTTTATCTTAGAGATCTTTTTTATGGATGAATGAAAAAGTTAAAATAGAAATATTTGTTATTAACTGAAAATCTGTTGTAGTGGTTGGTGATTGTTTGGTTGAGAACCAAGGTACCACTGTGTTTGATTAATGTGATTTTGATATACACAGTAATGTTTAGAAATTTATAATTAAGGGATACCTATAGTAAGTAACCTGTATGTAACATTAGCCTGTCTACTATGGAAGAGTTGTTCAGTTCCTTGGGGCTCTGTTATATACAGGTTTGATAGTATTATATCAAAAAATTGAAGTAACTATTAAATTCATAATTGAAGTTTAGACTATTTACAAAAAGTCAAATTAACTTTTGAGTCCATCTTTATCCCTTATACACTACCACAGAAGTAACAGTCTTAAAAAATTGCTTTGAAAAACTCTTCTTAAACACAGGTAAAAATTGGTAAAAAAAAACTTCACAAGGTTAAAAAAGACACTTTTACAATTAAAAACACAAAAAAATTCTTCACACCTTATCATTTTTATTCACCTTTTAAACTGCTTCTGGCCCTCTAGTGGTAGTTATGAGTATCTACATTATTTGCATATAGTTACAATTTTTGTGACTATATGCAAATAAATTTACAATTCAATTATGAAGAAAATACATCCTGAGTTATCACAAAAATTGTAACTATTAAATATTATATATCATTTTAAAAGAAATTTTATTTACAATAGTATAGATTTAATGAACACTATCATATGGCTTATTGTCATAAAGGCTTTGCAACAAAAGGGTTTTGTTAGTCTTTTTTTTTAATTACAGTATGTTTTGATTTACCAAATAATATTGAATATGGCCCACGTCTGATATACAATAGCATAACGTGTTTTTGTTACTACAGCCTTGCTTGCAATGAATGTTTTTCACCATTTAAAATTTCAGAAATTTAAATAAATTTAAAAACCTTTTGCATGCGTGTTAAACCAAATGCTATAAATAATTCTTTTTGTAAATAAACAAGTTCATTTCAATAAACTACTAACCTTGGATTTCATTAGTTGGAATACATAGCTAAAATATAATATGCAAATCTTGCAACTGTTGACAACACATTGCAATGAAGTTTGTTCAGAAAGAATTTTTTGAGAATTTTTTAGTTTTTCTTACATTACACATCTAGCATATAAAAGGCAAGTCGCATTTAGCAGTTTATATTAATGACTGAGAAAAATTGTGAGGGGTAAGGCAGTACTGGAACCAATCAGGAAGATTATTATCAAGAAGTATAAAAGAGGAGTCTCTCAACATAGTATTGTGCATGATGTGCAGATTTCTGTCTACAGTCCAGAAAATGATAAAATGTTTTAAAGGGGAAACACTCATCCAGAAAAAGCTTTAGACAGAAAACTGCTACTAGAAAATTATGGACCACTAATCAAAACACTATATTTCCCAAAACAGGCACGTTTCCATAGCAGATTTGACAAAATAGACAAGGAAATACTTTAATATCCCTTTATCTGAATGCACAGTGTGGCTATATATCCAATGACGAAAAACAGACAGTACAAATCCAAGGAGAAATCTCTCATAAATGAATCATGCAAGTACAGATGTTTATCTTGGGTCAGAACTTGTCTGAAGTGGACAAACACTGATTGGAAGAAAATACTATAGTCAGATGAATCAACATTTCATGTAAAGCATGAGAATGTAGGGAAGAAAGTCATTTGTACTAAAGATAAAGCTAATAATCCAGCATGTTATTCAAGACGAATCCAGAAGCCACAATCCCCTAGTGGTTTGGGAATGCATGAATGCAGAAGGACTTAAAGGTTTTCATTTCTGTCATAATGCTGTGAACTTTGAAGCTTATATTCTAATCTTTCAATAATATCTATATAAATCAAAATATAAACATCTTATGAAACCCAATACATTACTCTATAACTCTATTTCAACTACCATATAATATTGGGCTATAAATTGGTGATAATAATTATAAATTACTAATAAATTTGACCCTAGAAGAAGGCATTAGGTGCCATCTCATATTAAATTTAATAATTATAACTTAATTAAATAATTTTAGATTAAACTGGAAGAAATGGCACCTAACGCCTTCCTCTGGGAATCAAATTTATTAGTAATTTATAATTAGCATCACAAATTTAGAGCCTGATGTTATATAGCAGTTGAAGTAGTATTACAAATCAAAATGTAAATTTTTCTAAAGACAAGTCTGTATTTTTCAGCATGACAGCACCTGTTTGCACAACACTAGGAAAACCAAAATGCGACTGCAATCTGATTGTGTACATGTACTCCCCTGGCCAGCAACAAGTCCAGACCTCTCTCCAATAGAAAATATATGGAGATTTTTGAAAAGAAAAATGGCTCAACATCATCCTCACACATTAGAACAATTACATATGTATTTAAGTGAAGAATGAGAAAAATTCCCAAGCAGTTGCTGACCAAGTTTGTATCTTCCATGCCTCTTATTAAGCGAAAAGATGATGCTATTCCTTGGTGATTACAGAATCTTAACACATTGAAAGAAGTTCAAAGAAACATTTTGCAAAGGTTCTGAAGATTATAAATTACATATTTTAATAGCAAAATATTTTCCTGACATCTGAGCTACTGATATGTTTGTATGATCACTTATCTTTATAATAAATTACTTTTCATTACAAAAATAAACATCTGTGCATTGCATTATGAATTTAAGTTTTTATCGATGAGTGAAATTCATTGCAAGCAGGGTTGTAGATTTAAAAAAATAAAAAAACTATAATTTTTTTTGTAATTTATAAATATGTTAGGCTTATACTAAAATAAATAAAGTATTTGCTCATTTGATATTATATTTATAGAGTAATTTAAATGAATTTATTTTATATGTTTATACAAATATAATTTTATGGTTTAAAATATTTATAAGTTTAAATAAGTTTTTCTTTTTAATTTTATTTTTAAATTTAACATTTAAATTAATATCTTTTCCACTCCCCTTTATGTAGACACTTCATTGAAATTAATTTTTCTATCTTATAAAATTTATTCATTTTCAGGTAATACCACCTCATAATTCCAATCATATTATGTTTGTACCAGGTAAGATTAGATTTTAATAATTCATCTTTTATTTATATTAATATACTAATTACACTTTTTAAAAATTAAAGGTCATTTACAGTATAATGAAACTTATATTTGGCAATTAGTTGATATGACTTGTGGCCACGAAAATATAGATGTTAATCAAGATCAGGATATTTATTTAATAATGATGCGATTTGATGTTTGCAATAATGGTCTTAATATATGGCAAGGCCCAACTATATTACTAGAGCCAACTGCAGAAGCAACAATTACCTTATCTCAAATTGAAGTAAATAAGTTCTTAAGTTCTTTAATACATATAAATTAAATAAATTAAATTAAATAGAACATTAATTTAATTATAGGTTGATGGTTTATTACTTGTTGTAAATCACTCATCTCAACTTATGAATCAATGTTGTAAATTTCAAAAAGTAATGGGTAATACACTGCAAATTGAAAAACAACAAACTTCTTGTAATCATGCTATTGCTGAAGCTCTCAATGCTCTTAAAGTAAGTTTTTAAAAATTTTAAAGTATTTTTAAGCACTATTTTCATTTATTATTACAGAATGCATTTTAATATCTTATTTAAATTATTTTCTACATAAAGTGTAACATAACCGTATAACCATTATTTTAAAATTATTCTATGGCAAATGATAACATATAGTTACAATTTGACTTTTAATTTATCTTTTTAATTTTTATAAGATATTTTATTTTGATGAAAAAAATATAGCAATGTTCAAAAATACTGCATTATTAAATTTTGCATGTGAGAATTTAATATTTTATTAGAAGAAAAATAATTCTGAAAATCAAGGTTTGTAGCTAATAAAAGGAAAATAAAATGTTTTATGACTTACATAAAGATTTACTATTAAATTCACTTCCTAAAGATTTAATTTATGTTAGTTGTAATTCTTTAAATATTATTACAAGGCAATTGATCTAAGACAAAAGAAGCCTTCCCTTTTAACAATATACATAACAATTGGGAAGGCTTAAAAAAGTGTTTAAAAAATTTAATTGTTTGAGGTTTGAAATTTGATGGTAAAAATATGTATTTGCTTTTTATTTCTTAACCCTTTACCACCGCCATCTTGTTTACGTTTATTTTGTAAACTCTCCTAAGGCAATATAGGTCAGTCAGGCGATATTATTTTAAAAATTCACCAAAAATCAAATTATCATTATATTCATATGAAAAAAATTACGTACATTTATTAATATCTTTAGTTTTGAATATGATATTTTTCAATACATTTTATTAGAAAAATTTATAAGAAAAAAATAATATATATAAGAACTGACATTTAAACTTGATAATTTGTAACTTTTTGTCAGAATTAAGATTGTCTAGTTACCTAGTTTTTTGCTGGCAATGAGCCAGTAAGACGTAGAATATTGTTTTGTACAACTCTATATAACACTTATGCATGTATGTTTATTTGTTGTGAAATTATTGCACATTATATCAAACATTTGTTTGAAATCAAAACTTTATTCTGCTATCAACTAATATAATGAACTAATAAATATACTTTATTCACTTCATATTGAACAAGAAAATAAATTTTTGTAATAAACATATGATTATTAGTAGTAATACATGTAATATTTGCTGATATTTTAGATTAAAATAAAAAAAAAATGTATAAAATGTCAGAACTGAAGGTCACAACTTGAATATTCATAACACCTTGCATTATAATTTAATGTTTTATTTTATATTTTTTTTTGTAAATATCGTTTCTTCTTTCAGACTTTCAATGATAATACACATAAAGAATGAAAAGTCCAATAACTAATCTACTTTATGAACTAGTGTTAATCTTTCGTGTGTTGAATATTTTCTCCATCACATGTCGCTACATGTTGAATTTTTTTCGATGTTAAGCCTAACATGATTGCACATTTTAGAAAAAAAAATTATGGCTATTGTATTGTTCCAAATTACTTTATATTTTGCACACACAAAACAGACATTAATAAATGTGAAAACTAAAATTTTATTTCAGAAGTTAATTCTTGTATGATAAATCTCAAAGCAAGGAACAACGCATGGTGAAATGGAACATTGTTCAAACTGGTAACATGATTTTACTCGCTTTTTGTTTGCTGAACATACTTCACAAACTCTGGTTGGATGGTTTTTTTTCTGTTGATGGTATGTGGATAAATGCAATGGATTTTCATGTGACAGTCGACCACAGCGTGTGACATATCTGCTTGTTTGAAACTTTTCTATGACTTCTCTAATAACAGCCATATGAAAATCAAGAAATGACATTTATTTTTTTGTTAGTTGTTGATACAAAAGACAAGCATTATACAGTGAAATATACAGCGTATGAAAAAACACTTTTTTATACCATTACACAGTTTTTCTCATGCGCAGATAATTGTGTATCACTCCATCACACAGATCAATTCCACCCATACTATGATTATAGTCTAAAATACAATTTGACTTCATTATTGTATCTCCTGATTACATTTACCAGAATCTGAGAATTTATTATTACTCATTGTACTTAGAATCAGGAAAATTGCATAGCATTCCAATTTGATTTATGTTCATGGTTCCATATATATATATATGTTATGTTCATGGATATATATATATATGTTTGTTTATCAAGAAGTGCTTTTGCTAATGTCAGTGAGGTGAAAAATCTGTCTAAAATATCTTGTAATTTTTACCTGGCAACAGTTCTAATAATGTAAGAACAACTTTCTCACCTTGCCCACCTTCAAAATTGTCATATTCTGTTGTAGCTCCCGTGTAAACTAAAAAATCCCAAACATATTCTGTTTGTGACTTACAAATTTCAAAGCTTTTTAAACCAAAACGAGCACACTTGCTAGATATATACTGCCTAAATCACAGTCTACCTTTCCATAACATAAGACTTTCATCTGGGATGTAAGCATATTTGAATCTTGGTGAAAATGATCGATAACACTGTGTAATTTATGCAATATATCACCACCACCTGATGCTTGATCATTGTCTGTAAAATGCAAATATGACAATAAAAGCAAAAATTGGTTGCGTGACATCACACTTGAAAAAAAAATGGTGTAGAAAAAACATCTTCAGTTGTAAAATATGTACTTAGGCAAGGTTTTCTAATAATACTTGTAATCATAATAAGTCCTGAAAATTCTCTAATTTCTGGATTTGTTGTCCAGTGTTTTATATGACTGTTTTCATGTAAATCGTCACATTTCATCAAAGTATCACCATATCTGTTCGTTTCTTCAACAATCTTATCTACAAGTTCATCATCAAAAAATACATTGAAGCAGTCAAATGGTGTAGCATCACTTTGTAACTTACATTGAATTCCTACTTGTCCTGTGAAACTGTTCACTTGAGGGCTTGGTAAAGTTTGTACAGATCCAACCATCATCATTACTAAAACATGGACATTTTGCACTATTATTTCTGAGAGTATGACTGTGTAATCAGCCTCTGTTTCCACTTGTAGTTGGTATTTCATGTTTCCACTTGTAGTTGCTACTACTATCGCTCACATTCTCACTTTGTAGAAATTCATCCTTCTATCTGATAATTCAGACTCACCAGAACCTAAATTAAACAAGTACTCGATCATTTCTGATTTATTCAGAGTGCCATTTCTCCCAGCCATTGCCATGTCAAAACAGAGTCTAACTAATGATCTATGTTCATTTGTTATTTCTTCTGAACATCTACTCCTATTATTGTAATATCCTGCTGTGCGAAAACTAGATAACATAACAATTCTTGTGATATGAGACATTAATTTCGAAATTCCGTACAAGTAGTGACATCTGATGTTAAAAAATGTTTCTAAGCAGAAATAAGATATCTTGGGTCCACCAGTCAAGGTCAGCAGGTTGCGACCCAAGATATGTCGGGAATAACATCAGACATGTTAAGAAAGTATGAAGCTCAGTTCATGCCAGCATTACACTACATTAATTATATTGATATTATTTGGTGATGTAAATCTAATATAAAGGAATTTTTTTAAATATCAACAAAAACAATCCTTATACACTCTTCAAAGTAAAATTGCAACACCATGAAGGAATGTGTATAGCCACATGTACATTGCAGGACCAGTAGAGGTAACAGAGATATGCTAATGATTAAAAGAATAAACAAAGATATGCAACAGATATCTGCAACAGATGATTGCCTGAAATATCTCTTGCCAAGCTGTGTTCACTGTAGCATCCATGTTGTCTGTAATATGAGCCCTGGTGCACTTCCGACATGAAGTGCACCAAGTCCTACAGGATGGGAGAGAGATCTGGCGAGGCTACCAGCTAGGGAAAGATGTGAATTCCATTCAGGCTGGTGAGAGTTCACCACATAATGTTCAGTTGGGCATTATCTTGCTGGAACACTGTGTTGGGTGCAGTCTGCACTAGTGGCTGAACCATAGGCAACACAATTCGTGTGATATACTGGTTTGCTGTCAGAATACCAGAAATGTGCACCAGAGCTGTCTGCTGATTGAACATAATGCCTCCGCAAACCATGATGCATGGTGTGGGGCCAGTTTGATGCTCAGCAAAAGAGGCTGGCACATAGAATGCCACCACACCTGTCCTTCTTCCAGAATGCCACCACACCTGTCATTCTTCCAGAATGCCACCACACCTGTCATTCTTCCAGAATGCCACCACACCTGTCATTCTTCCACAGACAGAAGTGGGATTCTGTAAACAATACCCGATGCCATTAGTGGTCCAGTTGCAATGACAACAACAACAACACACCAGGAGTGCAGCCCTGTGTTGAGCAGTTAATGTCACCCTGGTTGCTAGTTAGCATGCATGCAGCCTGACTTCATGCAACCTGTTGTGAATGGTTTGGGTGGACAGATACATCTGTAGATGATTTCAGATGGATCTGTTAGGCAAAATGTCACATGCTGTGACAAATCTTAGTGGGCTGTTTGGTGAATCTGCCAGTCTGTGCACTCTGTCATGTGCTTGTGCAATTTCTCCCTTTTTTGTGTGTTTGCAGATATTCTTAAGTCCATCATGTCACATATCACTGAGTGGTACTCATGTCCTATCCAACACACTTGTTAACTGTGTGCATTGACAAACAGGTTATGCAGTTTTAGGATATGGTCTCATTTCCCAGCTGTTAATTGGTGGTATTTGGCTCACTGTCATCTTTCTATGCTTCTTCAAAAGTTAGGTGGCTGCGAACCATTGCTGATAGCATTTACAACCTGAACTGGCTTTTGGTCTTTATAGCATGAAACTGGGTACTACATGATCTAATGTGTACACAAACGTATACATTTTCATATCGCTGTCACCTCCACCAGTATTGTGATTTTACTTAGTTTACTTTTGATTTTACTTTTAAAATCACAATACTATGAAGGAATGCATGTAGCCACATATAAATTGCAGGACTGTGGAGATGACAGTGATATGCAAATGTATAAGTTTGTGTACATCATGTCACATATCTCATACATCAAGTCACACACATATATATATATAAAAATATATATATATATATATCTTTGAATACAAAAAGAAATATATATATATATATATTTTGTATTAAAGATGTAATGTTGCATAAACTTTTGTTGAAGCTCTTATTAGATAGGTTATATAAATTGCTTCTACATGATTTGCATGTTGTTGGAACATATGAAAGTAGTTACTATAGACCATAGTATCAGATTCCTGCATAATCCATGTGTAAAGTCAAATAATTTTTGATTTCTTAAAATATAGATGATTTCTTAAAATGGAAGATGGTGATGGTAAATTTTTAGAATACAGTTATGAATTGATTTCAAAAACAGTCAAAGAAGGATTTGATTACAAAAATGAAGTGGACACAAACTGGAAGTTTGTAATAATCTTCAGTAGTAATCTGAATATTTATTTATATTCAACGAACCAAACAACCCTAGTGTAGTTGTAGTTGTAGTAGTTTTATGAAGAGGTTTTCTCTGTGAAAATCAGATTTACTATAGATTAGAAACATTTGTAAACTTCAGTTAGATGAGTAGAATAAAGGTTTTTGATTTAGACTTAAGGAATTTTAATCTGGATACAAAGAAGCCTATGTTGGTTATATTTCTACAAGACTATAGAACATCAGTCTTTGTTGTTAACATTTGAATATTGTTTCACATTTTGTGAGATCATTCAGTAATTGGCACTTTTTTAGGATGTAAAGAGGTGAACTTCTGTCAGTATTACATTCATTATAGTTAAATAAACATCTTATTTGTTTTATACATAACTGTATGAGCTTAATTGGTCTTGTGGATTCTTTGAAATTGAATTAACAGGATGACAGACATCTGCACAGAGTTGAAATGAGTAAAAGCAATTGTTATAAATTATGGCAATAATAATCTCTCTAGTATACAAAAATATCTCAATACTCTTGTATACTAGAGAGTTCACATTATTATTGTGTATTCCTAGCATTGAAGAGAGACTGCTAATTGATTCAGTTTGAAATGCATATTGTGTAAGTACATCTCTTCAATAATAAAAAAAAAGGACTGTTGAAAAGATTGGATTGATTTTTATTATACTCATTATTTTAAAGTGACTTTTCTTTTTGAAAGTTTTTAAAAATTATTTATATAAATATGCCTTTTTTAAAAAATTTCTATATTATTAAACTTTCACATCTCATGATTATTTAATAATAATTATTTTTATTGTTTCTATAGCTTCTTGTTCTATCATTTTCAATATTTTAATTTAGCATGAATTTGCTTTTATTACAAACTTATTGTACAGGAACTTTTCAGACAAATGGTAAAAAATAGACTTTATTAATTACAGAATATGCATTTCAGGTACAAAATCTTGACAGGGTACATAAAAAGTTAGTTATGGCACTGAACGTCTAACACTCAAAAATGACTGGATTATTAAAGCAATCCCTTATTAGTTATATAACTCACTAAAACACCAAACAGTATTCTCAAGTATTTAAGCAAAATATTCTTTATTATTTGCTTATAATGTCAACTGTGCTTGATTTTTATTTGAACTGAGTGTTTGCATATTTCATTGAAATGTTAAGTGCTGCAAAGAATAAAAAAATTTAGAAGAAAACTACTTTGAATTATTATTAAATGTATAGAAATTGTACTAAATAATTTTAACATTTTTGGTAGAAATTAATTTATTTGATATCTTTAATATCATTGTATTTGATAACTAATATAATCAAGAAATTTTTTAAGATGTTACATATAATTTTATATATATTTTTAGAGGAATCGTCACATTTCATCAAAGTNGTAATAATTTTTACTTTTTTCCTCAAAAATATAATATTTGTTTCATAGTTTTTAATATAAATATTTATATTTAATATAAAATTAAAATTAAATAATAAAGATAACAATATATTATATTTATTATTTATTAATAGGTAGAAGCATTACATTTATGTGAAAAAATTACTGATATTATTCAAGAAGTTGAAAGACAATTAGATGTAGCTGTACTAAAAGAACTGGACGAAAATGATCGTAATAATATACTAGCTAGTTACAGAGAAGTTCTACATCAAGGATTTAAATTTGGTTTTGAGGTAATATTGTTATTGGTTTGTTGTTATGTATATTATTTTTTTAAATAAAGTATTCAAAAAAGAAGTTTTTATAACCATTAAAATATTAAAGCAGGCATGTCATCAGAAAATTTCCAATGAAATCTAATGGATTAAGAAACATGTTAATTATATTACAAAATAACATTTCATATCTTGAAGAAAATCTTGAATTTCCTACAATATATTTACAACTTTATCAATGTCAACATGAAAATCATAATGACAATGAATTAGGGTTAGTCCTGTAAGGCAGCATTCAGTCACTGTAGCTCTTATACAGTTGCTCAGTCTTCTCAACATACTGGTCAATCTCTCACATTCACATGATGTGAGGATTATAGCACAAAGTTTTAGCAATAGAAAAATGTTTGAAAACATGCCTGGATAGTATGTTTTTACCAATTCAGCCAGTGTGCATGGCAGTTCCTCATATGCATTTTTGCTAATCCAGTTCTTTCATTGAAATCTCTTGCCTTTAAGAAGATCAGAACTAAGCAGGTTATTGCAATACATGTCAACAAGTCCACTCAGGGAATGCAGCCCTATTTTGAAAAATTCATTAAAAATTTAATTTTTTTAAATATGCTTGAAAATATCATATTAATACATTATTAACAATAGAGTTAAATATATCTTATAAATTATATAATACAGTGTGACTATTTTTGATGAGACTACTGTATGTCTTGTCTATAAAATTGCACTGCTGTCAACGGCTGGACATCTTAGAGGTATGGAATACATATCAGGAGTTGCAATTTGGCACAGGATATTTGGTGCCCAAATCATGCGCACATAAAAACCCAGAGTTGTAGATAGTCAGGGGACTGAGAATTGAGTCAAAATAAAATATAAAATGGCAACACTGTTTCTACAAACAAGTGCTAGTGCGAGATTTGCACATGTGTTGCTCGTTGGGAATTTTGAAATGTGAACATTGCAAAGTCAAATTTTGACAAACGTGTGACACATGTTATGCATGTGTTCTCTTGTTCTTGTCATTTCACCATCCTGTGAAATGATGAGATGGGTCAATTTGGGTACAAATATCTTCCCACTTACCATAGTCAAGAACAGGCCCACTGTAATCTACAACAGTACTTTTCAACCAATAAGGAAAAGTCGAGTCGGCTTTTCCTTATTGGTTAGTGCTCATTTTTTTCTTTTCCTTAGAAAATGGTGCGCAGTCAATGCCTGAGTCTTCAAGACATGGTCTCATCCCAAAAATGGCATTGCTGTTTTACTTCTTTTCTTTTAAAAGATCAGAAGGCTTTTTGTAGAGTTTTATTGATACATGTATCATCAAACATAAATTAATTGTTTTTTTTTTTTACAGTTTCAAAAAGGAGTTGCTAGATTAATAACTGGAGAAGGGAGAACAAAACTTGGAAAATTATTGATTAAGTTTGCCCATCAATGGATGAAATTTGTTTCTTCAAAGTGTGAAAGAGGAAGAGGACATAGGCCTCGGTAAGATGACATTGATATATGTACACTGTAAGTAGTTATACTAAATACAGTCGAACTCGGTTATAATGAGCATACGCAGACCAGCAATATTTCCTCTTTATAACTGTTACTCATTATATCCATGAACAGCAGTAATGTAATAAGGGAGAGAGTGGCTGGTGCTTCAAGTGTAAACACTTAGTTATAAAAAAAAATACTCCTCAAACCTTTTTACCCTAGTACTCTGGTTAAAAGGTTTGAGGAGTATTTTTAGAATAAAAATAAAAGCACTTATTTCGATAAAGCCTGAAGAAGAGCCCAGGAGGGGCAATGAAAACGTTTGCGATTCTAAAAATAGAAGCACTCAGGTTAAAAAGTTTGAGGAGTATTTTATTTATATTTACCGGTGTGTAGAGAGATTGTCTTAGTTATAAATTTTGCCAATTATGAGGCGCCTCCTAAGATTTCACTAATTATCAGTTGCAATCTTTTAATTTTTAATATATATATCCAAATGTCTAATTGTCTAATATACAGACACACAATGTAATTACATATTGTGTAATTACATACATACAACAATTTATTTTTTTGTAATTAAAGATAATATTAATTAATAATATGCCTGATTTTAGTTAGTCTTTTTATCTATTTACAAATCTTAAAATTGATAATGTTGATACTGTCAAAGATGACAAAGAAAACTTTCTACACACTTCAATGTTCTTAGCACCACACTCTAACTCATGAATAATTTCTACTTTTTTGTAAACTGGGAGATATTTTCTTGTATAAGAGTTTGTTTCTAACTAGAGTATATGGTAATTTTACAACCAATGATGATTAGGTAAATTGGCAAAGTAGGGCCAGAAGTTAGTCAAGAAAAAAGGGGAACAGTTTCCAAAAAGAAAGTCAAGTGATAACGAGCAAGTATGTATCGTGATATTGTCAGAATGAAAGGCTACAATTTTTAATCATTTTTTAAATTTTATTTAATTTTTAAAATATATGCTTTCCAAATTAGTAATATCTTGCCTCTTTACATCATACTTTTCCCATTAAGTGACTGGCATGACTATATTGCTGTCTAACTCCTTTCAGGGGAAAATGTTTGAATTGAAATAACATGACTTTTGGTTTGCATCAGAAGTTCATATATAGTTAATTGGTGCCTTCTGCTTTCAGCTCATCTATCTGTCCTTCCTTAATCTCAAGAATGGAGTTAGACGGACAAATGACAGTGGGAATTTATAGGTTTCATCAATGCAGATAGTAAAACTAATTATCCAGAGGTCATAAAACTAAGTGACCTTTTTCAGTTTTATCTCTTCCAAGAATTTGGTATTGCATTTCTTACTACTTGAACAATTAAGAATGAATGTGTTTGCACAGCTACTGAAAATTTGTTCAGTATATCCTTGAAGTGCCCTCATTATAAATGTGAGAAAATGTGTGGAAACATGCGTAAATTAAAGTATTTATAGCATGCTCGTTATAACCATAAACTCATTATATCTGTGTTCGTTATAACTGAATTTGACTGTATGTTGTAAAGAGAATATTACATAGAAACCAATAAATCTGGTAGTAACAGCAGTGACTCCACACCAGACTACAATTGTAGCTTGATTTATGAAAGTAATTTACATTGTAATAGTAAATATTGAAAAACCACTCTCTCTCAAATTTTTGTGGTCAGTTTTTCATACACTTTAAGATAAAATAGATACTTTGAGATAAAAAAAAATATATTATTCAAAATAAACATTTATTGTTTTCTATGACTTTATGTAGCTTAAATGAAGAGATGCAAATTTGCCTAGTTCTTCATTGAAAATAATTCATTTCCAAATATTGCTGTCTTTGTCACAAAGTAAAGTTTGAGGGAAATAATAACTATTTTCTATTGTATACATTTCACGTATAGCAATTGGGAAATAACATTTAGGAAATAAAAATAAGTAAAAATTTGTTACATGGTGTAATTATTGTTAATTGGATAGAAATGTCTAAAAGCATTAAGAAGCAATGATGAAAAATTTTATTTCTTTAATAAAAACAAATCTTTATGAAATAAAACTTTTGATTAGCTACAATATATTAATTTAGTAAGATTAGTTTTTATGTAATAATGAAAATATTAATTTTTATTAAATAAAACTTTTGATTAGCTACAATATATTAATTTAGTAAGATTAGTTTTTATGTAATTTTGAAAATATTAATTTTTATTTTCTACTTACAGGTGACATTGTTCTATTGGATGGAAATAGTGGAATTCTGCAGAAAGTAGCAGAAGATAAAACATTGTAGAGATGCTTNGATGAAAAATTTTATTTCTTTAATAAAAACAAATCTTTATGAAATAAAACTTTTGATTAGCTACAATATATTAATTTAGTAAGATTAGTTTTTATGTAATAATGAAAATATTAATTTTTATTCAATTATAGAGATTACTTTAAATGTTACCTTAAACAACTTTCTAGAGAAATTACTGGTACTAGTACTAAGTATCACAACTAAACCATGTCTACATTCGGAATGATAAGAACCTGAAGCAGATTCTGGATAAAAGATTGAAAACATTTGTTCATTTACTACATTCGAACTGTACTGGAAACCCAAAGGTTTAGTGGTGATGCTTATAATTTTTATATTATTAGTTTAAGGTAACATAATAATTAAAAGAAAATATTTTCTGTTTTAATACAAAAAATTTTGTAATACATAATTTTGCTGCTTATAAAATTGTTTTTAATTATAAATAATATCTTCTGAAATATGAATTATATTGAAATTAATAATATAAAAGCTGTTGTGTGTGTATTTGAGTGTAAGTTCCTTATAACTCTTGCAATTTTTGTCCAATCTAGATGAAATTTCGGTTATATTCATTTTATATTCTGACAGAAAGCCAGAACATTTTTTTGTTCTGGCTATGTATTGTGTAGAAATATTAGCTATAGAATAAACATTTTATAGATTTTGCATTGGTGATTGCACTTACATTGCAGTGACGTCAGTGACCTTATTTAGTTCATACTTGAAGATGGAATTTTCCTTAAGTTGAATTTTAAAATATTTTGGCAAATGGTGTATTTTAAACTTACAGGTAACCCCCATATAACACGGTAGTTACGTTCCAAAAAATTGCCGTGTTATGCGAATCCGTGTTATACGAAACAAAGAAATAATATGAAAAGGAGGGTTAGGTTCCAAAAATTAAAAAAACATGCTAGTATATTTTCATAATTAAGATAAATATCTTCATTAAAATTTTTTTAAGTGATACATATTAATATAAATTAAACAATGTTTTCTTCGTCATCACTAAAAACACTATTAATTAACCGAGAGCGTTTTCTTTTTGGCAAGTTATCCTTATCCTCTGAGCATTTTTCTGCATTATCTTCAGATCCATGCTTTACCTTTTGCAAAATGTATGTAATTTTAGATTGCTTGCTTCTAGTTAAAAGGTCTTTATAAATTTCCTTATATGGTGCTAAGCACTTATGAAGAATAAAGCAAGTATGGAATAAGGGAAAAACATTCGGCAACATCAGAAGCAGAAGCGTCGCGATCTGGCAACATTGAAACAAGTTTCGAGAAGGACCACGTGTATCGACAGAAGGCGAGAAGAGAAAATTTACATACTTAAGTACTAATAGTTCACGAAAATAATAATTTTCGTGAACTATTATTACTTAAGTATGTAAAAATTTATTACATTTCCTGTTGTACAAGGGTTTTACCCAATTCTCGAACCATGTCAGAGTGAATCCGTGCTATAAAAGTACCGTGTTATACGGGGGATGGTACCAATTCTCGAACCGTGTTAGAGTGAATCCGTGCTGTAGAAGTGCCATGTTATACGGGGGTTACCTGTATTTCATTAAATTTAAACTTTAAAAAAAGATAACCTCATTGTGTCACTTCTATAACAAAAGTAAAAAAAAAAATCTTTTTATGGTGACCACATGACATTTTATTATCCAGTCGGAAGTAATGATGTAACAAGCCCATTATTTAGAAAGTGTTATCACTAATGTACTGTACATACAATTCATCTTTGTTTTATTAATGTGGAATTAAAAAGATTTGCTATTTTGTCAAAAGAAAAAAAAAATACTTAGGGGAAAGCGTAACAGTAAAATTGGTCAGGTAAATTGTAGATCTAAAAGAATAACAACAAAGATCCCTGATGGCAATGAAGTCTGGCTTGAGCAGCATCAAGTAAGAATGGTTTCGTCAAGGGCTGCAGAAACAGCATCACAACATTTTACTTGGAATGCAGTGTATAAAGAAATTTTATACAGAAAGATTTTAATATTTTTTCCTTATAAAGGCCGTAATGTGTGTGTAAGTGAATTCTCTATAATTCCCTACTATTACTACTATTATTACTATCTTTGTTCACTCCAGATGAATTTTTGTTTTGTTGCTCTTTATGTTACAACAGATGTTAATATTTCTACAAATTAAGTAGTTTATACTAACTCTTGAATTTCTTGAAATTTCTACTCTTTTCAATTCTTCGATCTCTGCTTTCTCATAAAAAGTATTCCATCCTGCTTGATGGGAGAATTTTTAGTTTTACAATAATAATCTTTAAAATTGTTTAAAAATAAGTAAAGTATTATTTCAAAGTAGTTTTTATATTTATTCTCCATAAAATAAGTGTTTGTAAATAATCTTGTAAAATGCAAAATTATAAATCATATTGCACCCATTGAGAGGTGGAAAAAGATATAAAAGTTTGATTAATTAGAATTAAAGTTCATTTATTTTTCAAAATTTAATTATACTTTAAGCAATGTATAATACTAAATAATATTATAATATAAATTAAACTTTATATTATATTAATGATATTTAATAATTTTCAGTTGGGCTAGTCAAGGTTTGGAATTTCTAATAGCTGCTTGTGACCCACAATATTTACAAGCACTGACTGATGAAGAGTTTCAGGTGAAATTATTAAGTGATAAAGTTTTGAATTTTCTTTTATTTTAAACTTTTATAATCCAAAATATACATACATGTATATAAGAACCTAAACTATATATATATATATATAGTTCAGGTTCTTTACATATATATATATATATATTAATATGTATGTGTGTGTGTGTGTGTGTGTTCATTCATGTTCAGAAGCAATGCTGCTGGAGGGTTTCAGGTGCCCTTCATGTCAAGAAAGTTTGATGAATAGTTGGCAGAGTTGTGCCATCAAAAACAAAATAAACAATATATTTTTTTGGAATTAAGAGAATACAAGTAGTATAAAGAAGGTTTAAATAGTTATATAATTTCAAAATAACTTCTGCTGCAAATAATGTATAAAATTCTTTCTTTGAGTTAATTTTTCTCTAAGAATTCTGCCTTTGTATCCACTCTTAACTCCTTTAACTTTATACATTCACATAAAATATGCTTTCTCAAATGTGAATTATCACAGTTTACAAATTTCTGTAGGCAATAAGAACTTTCTTTTCATGATTAAATTATTGGAATTTAGTTAAATTTTTTTTTTTTCATTATTCAAATATTTTTTGTGTTGAACTTAAAATTTTAAGCATTTTTGATGATGATCAAATCCTATTGGATATTTTATCATATATTGAAATTTATGATAAAATTAACACACTATTTTTGCTCTTCTTATCTATCAGTATATGATTTAAGAATTACACAATCATGAACATGTCTGAATTTTATGAAGTTTCTTCAAACAAAAGTAAAGCGAGTTTTAAAATTTTAATTGATAAAGGATTGAAAAAAATTTTGGTATATTTAATTAAAGGAAAAATATCTCTATACTTACCAAACTAAATTCTTTAAAGTATTATCATCATTATACAACATTTCTTGAAAAAGTCATTAAAAATATGTAAGAGTATCATAACTCTAAAAAAATTTATGGAAATTGAAGTAATTTTTATCAAATAATTTTCAGATAATTATTGTATTGTGTGATACAATGATAATCAGTTTTGCTAACTAAATTTGAGTTTTGCTTTTTGCATTCTTATATTGTGATTTATTATAAATAATTCAGATAATTCTTTAAGAAATGTTTTAGAAATAATACTATTCTTCACAAATGTTTTATATTAATAACCAAAAATAATATATAAAATTAGCATTTCATAGTGCTAAAAGAAATATATTGATGACTTAATTAATAGTTAGTATAATTGCATCACTTAAAATGTAATATCTATTAAAATTTTTGGTACTTATTTTAGTATATTTATTATAACTAAGTTCTAAATGTGTCTGATTTATTTATTTTATTTTCAGGAACTAAAGAAAAGCATGAATAATTGTATAACTCATTTAATTGGTTCACCTCTCTCTGGTTCTCGTGTAACCAGTCCAACACATATAGCAACACAGCCTAATTTTACAGTCTGTTGTCAGTATTCTGTGAAGAGTGAGACACAGTTGCCATCATCACCAATTAGCTGTCCAGAGAATCTTGGTAGAAGGTAAATATTTACATATGTTTATACTATAGTGTGTATGAGAAAGAATGGATGCTGTACAGTTGAAATAGTTTTATTGAGAAAGTAGAAAAACTAGGGCAATGAAATTTTCATCTTATAAAACAGTAACTCAAAAACTTTTTAGTTATTTTAAAGGTACTGTAAATATTAACCAACAGTGTAATGTAACTTTCTCCAGAAGAGAAATTAAACAAAATTGACCCAGCACATTGTTTCCTGATCCCCAGATGTAAACCAGTTTGTTCTCTAAGGATATATAACAAGCAAGAGTGAAACATTTACAGATTATTTTACAAAATTTAATAAGCTATAAACAATTGTCTATGCTGTAAAAGAAATGACATATTTCTAGTGTATTTTATACTGTACTGTACATCAGAACTCTTAACATTCAATCTTCTGGAAAATGGACATTATGTAAACAACAAAAGATGCTCAAATTAAAATAAAATGTAAAGTAGAAATAAATTTTATCCAACTACTGTTTCATATAATGAAAATTGCACTCTTAGTTTCATTTATTTTCTCAACAGAACTATTTAAAATATGTTCAGTTGTTCTTTGAGTAAAAATTATTCATATTAATAAAATTATTTTGAAGAGTATCCAATTCTCGAACTATGTCAGAGTGAATCCGTGCTATAAAAGTACCGTGTTATACGGGGATGGTCCCAATTTTCAAACCGTGTTAGAGTGAATCCGTGCTATAGAAGTGCCGCGTTATACGGGGGTTACCTGTATTTTATTTTATCAGCTTCTTTTATGTGTATTTAATTATAATACCATATTGTCAAAATGTGTATATGTAACCCAGCTGAAGAGGACTATTAAAAAAGCTAAAATGCATTCTGGGCTATTAAATGTTAAAAAAATTGGAAAAGTGTGTAATAAGTCTGATAATTATAACAGGGCAAGCAGACTCATATGGTTATTTACTACTATTTAAATCTACTCTGGTTCTGTCTGGCCTTGTTTAATCTATTGGACAGTGAGTTCAACACAAAATATGAATGCATCATCAAACACAACAGAACAACACAATACACATTATCTCATCTCATGTTACATGCAGTGTTTCTCAAACTTTTGCTCACACAATTCAATATATTTGTTTGTAATGATTCTGCAACCCAAAATGTTTATAATATAAATAATATAAAATTTTTAAAATCCTGGTGAACTGGAGTCACTGTATATTATATAATAAAATAAAATTATGCTTTATTGATGATAATTTTTGTGTTTGAAATGTAACATTGAATACATTTCTGTTAAGGACAGTTCAGGCCAATTTCAATTTGTAACAAATAACTTACTTCAATTTTTGTTTTTATTATTGAAATTTAACAATTAAAAATGTAAGATTGATCATTGTAAATAAAACAGACCATTTCAAAATTATTTATGAGTCTGTTTTACTTTGAAAAATATTACAGGGTTTTTTTTGTATAAACTTAATGAGCCTGTTTTTAAAATGTACTTTTTAGATTGTAAGATTTTGTCAATTTCATTTTGTATATACAAAACAAAACAAAAAATTTTTTTAAAATTATTTATTGATTCACTTGTGCCAAAATTTATCCATTATTTATTTATTTATAATTTATTGTTTTGTATGATAATAAACCTAAAAGTTTGAATAAACAAGGAAATATTTTTAAAATCATTGCAATGCAAATAGCTTTATTACTAAGACTTTACATAAAATATCTTTTTTGATATTATTCAAAATAAAAAAGATAAATCAATTTTATATACACACATTCTATAATCTTAATTTTATTACTAAATGAGAACATAACAACCACTCATCATACTATGTATAAAATGAGAAATTGTTGGTTATAAATTCCTTGCTTGTACAGTTCTAGAATGCTCCATTGCCCATTGTCCCCCTCTATTATGTTATCTGGAGGGGCAGTAAGCTCAACAGGGGAGCAGAGAGGTTGTATATATTGACATGTGGTTTGGAGAGAGACTGTTTTTCAATGCCAATGTGGAGGAATATGAGAGTGATCAGTGACAAAGATATTGTGCGAGGGAAGAACTTGGAGAGAGTATAGATTCTGTTCCAAATGACGAGGACAAGACAGCAGCTATGTGACATGGGGTTCAGAGGTACTTCTTCCGTTATAGTGTCTCCTTTCCCCTTTTGTCTAATTGTGTACCAGCAATAGACAAAACCCAAAGGAGGTGAATGAGCTCAACTGGGTTATCGATGGTATATGGGTAGCCTTTGAGGTGGGGAGAAAGTAGGTTGTGAATGGCTTTCTCAATTTTCTTGTGGGAGCTCCTCCTTCGGGTTTTGTCTTCGACACTGCAGTATATTACCGTGTTAGACTTTAAATCTATGTACCCATTGGTGGAGCTCCCTCCAGCTTTTTGCTCCCTTAGGGACTTTTTGCTTAATTTGACTCAAGAACAAGCATTACACCAGCAAGTCATTGAATTAGCCCATCTGATCTGTTATAATTCTATCTTTGCGTTTGACGGAGAAGTCTACAAACAAAAAAGGGGAGTCCTCATGGGTAGCCCAGTATCCAGGAACCTATGTGAAATGGTCGTTAGGCAACTTGAACGAAAAATACTTCCACTGTTCCTCCCAAACATCTTACTCTATAGGAGGTATGTGGACGACATCGTCATCATGTGGAAGACAATACCTGACATCTCAAATTTCATACAAACCGTTAATGATAATCCCTACGGCCTAA